CTGAAAAGGTTCCTTTTAATGAAAGGAATGACTTTTCAGAACTCTTTTAGAGCTGAAAAGGTTTCTTTCAATAAAAAGGAACGACTTTTCAGAACTCTTTTATAACTGAAAAGGTTCTTTTCAATGAAAAGGAATGACTTTTCAGAACTCTTTTAGAGCTGAAAAGGTTTCTTTCAATGAAAATAAATGACTTTTCAGAACTTTTTTAGAGCTAAAAATATTCCTTTCAATGAAAAGGAATGACTTTTTGGAACTCTTTTAGAGCTAAAAAAGTTCCTTTTATTGAAAAGAAACATTTTCAGAACTCTTTTCTGAATCTTTATATAACCTGTTTCTTCTGTTTTTTCTGTAACTTCTTTAAACTATTTAATTATTTTTATTTATTTTTATCATTTATATTATTATATTATATTAAATCTTTATTTTAATTTTATAGAAAATATCTTTATTTAATTAATTTATAGCATAGTAATGATAGTGACATATCCGATAATACTAACGATTTTCCCGAAGAACAAGCATCTGAAATTCCTGAAGAATATAATATTTCAGGTGAATAATAGATTTGATTTACATTTCAATTATAATTGAATGACATTAATGAATAATTATTATTCATAGATAATTCTAACGAATCTAATACTGACATTCTGTTAATGGAAAGTAATCCAAGATTGGGATTTTATCTTCGTAGAACTACACATAAAGAAAAGTCTGCTAATAATAAAAATAGTTCGAATTCATATTTAAGTAATTATGATAATGAAGTTGATGATGATGGAATGAATAAAGGTGAAATATTATTGAAATCTGGAGAATTTGGGATTGTAAGTGTTTAATTTAATTTTTATTTTATCCATTAAATGTATATTTTGACTGTTCTTTTAAATTTATTAAATTAGATTGAGCCTTCTCCGGATAAAGGTTTAAATGCGGAAAAATTTTTTTCCAAGCATGCATGTCATCAACTTATGTTGAGAGAAATACTTCCAGGTCGATTTTCGAAAGTTTCTTTTGGAAAGGTACAGTTTAAAATAATTCAACATTTTCTTCAATGTTTAATTTATATTATCTCCAATACTAGAATTTTAAACCAAATACCAATGGAAAAGTTATGATTAATTATGGTGTAAGAGCGTATTCTGGACAATATTCTCAAGATGGATCATTCTTTTATACTTGTTGCCAAGATTTTCGTGTACACATATATGACACTACAAATCCCGATGTATTTAAAGAGACGAAAACAATTACCGGAGATTGTGGAAGGTGGACGATTACCGACGCTAATCTAAGTTTAGATAATCAATGGTTAGCCTATACAAGTATCACACCAATTGTATATTTGGCAAAGACGGATCCTAATGACGAGTATCAAATACCTCTCGATTTCTCTAAACAATTATCAGAAGACTTCGGGGTGAATGAATTATACGTATAAGATTTTTAACCAACAAAAGTAAAATTAAAGTAATTAATTAATTAGTTTTTATTTGTTTTGTTTTATTAGCTATGGTCAATTCGTTTTTCAAATGATGCCAAGGAGTTGATAGGAGGTGCTAATGATGGTAAAATTTATGGTAAAATCATTTTCTTATTAGTATGATAATTAATTAATTCACAATATATTATATTAATTCGAGTAATTTCAATTAGTTTATGATATTGAGGCACAAAATGTTTTGCTTCAATTATATGGACATAATGACGATGTTAATTCTGTATGTTTTGCGGATGATTCATCTCATATTCTATTTAGTGGTAGTGATGATGCATATATTAAAGTTTGGGATCGTCGATCAATGAGAGGTGGTAAAGAAAGTGGTGTCTTAGTGGGACATACTGAGGGAATTACTTACGTAGCAGCAAAAGGCGATGGTAGATATTGTTTATCCAATAGTAAAGATCAAACTATGAAATTGTGGGACATTAGGTAATTGTAAAAATTGATTCAGTTATGATTTAATTAGATAAAACACATTCACTTTCTTTATTTTTTTTTTTGTTTTAACAGGATGATGATCTCTGGAGAAAGATTTGACAAGATTCAATTGGAAGATTATCGACTAGAGTGGGATTATAGGTAAATTGGTCTACAAACGGTTCGCTCAGTAATCTTTACTTTCTAACACAAATCTTATATCAAGGTGGAATCATTATCCTGGCGATCGAAATTTTAAACATCCGCAAGATGTGTCGGTAATGACATATCGTGGACATAGTGTATTAAAAACATTAATAAGATGTCACTTCTCTCCATCAAGTACTACTGGTCAAAGGTAAATAACAGTCACCTGATGTGTACACTTTGATGGCTTATAAATTTACATTTATTATATTATAGATTTCTTTATACTGGGTCAGAAGACGGTCGTGTCAGAGTAAATATTTATGTTGATAATAATTTATTATTCGACATATTTATTTTTAGTAATATACTTACTTTATTTCTTTCGTAGATTTTTAGTCTCGATGGCCGCATAGTACAAACATTAAATGTCGTAGAAGCACTACAAGATGAATATATTTTATTTCGACGTAATAGATTTCAACAAGAATCCGTAACAAGAGATGCTAGTTGGCATCCTTATTTGCCAATTATGATTTCAACTAGTTGGTCTGATACGGCATTCTCTGGCGTTATTGTTCAACATTCCTATAAAGAACCAGATTACTAATACCTTTAATCATTGTGTTTTGTAAACTACCTTGGTGTAAAGATGGTTTGTCTCTTTGATAATTAATTTTTTTTTTGTTTTTCTTAGGTTCTTTTGAGACATTTCTTTCTATTTTAGAAGTATTTTAACATATTTTATAGTAAATACTTTATTAGTATGACGCAGTTAGTTCGTAATCGTTAATTAATCGTTTTAAAGAAAAATAATCGGATGAATTATGGTTAAATTAAATGATATAATGTAATATTCTATTTTTTTTTAAAAAAAAAAAACTATTTACTATACAATAAAAAAAAAAAGAAATATTCAATCTTTTTTTGAGATTTTAAGCATAAACAAGCTCTAATTGTATCTGAATGAAATCACTTTTGTGTTTAAGTAATTTGCTTTTCTGCAATAAAAAAAAAAATTGTTTATAAGAAATTGAAGTAAAAATTATAACCAAATAATCTTAAGCATCTTTGATACTTTACTGTATAAGTTTTCTGCCGTTCTAATAATATCACATTGAATTAGAATTTAAATAAGTATTTAATTCATCAGTAGTAAATTGTTAAGATTATTATGATATAAAAAAAATTTCTAAATAATTTTTTGTTTTTAAAATTGAAAATTTGGTTAATTAATGTCTTGTAATTTATATATTTGTAATAATAGTTATAGAGAGAAGTAATAAAATTATTAATTTTCTTATATAAAGACTTAACATATAAATTGGTTAAAGAATATCCTTTTTATTCATTTTTATAAATAATATTTTTATATCTTAATTTTCAAAAGATTTAAATAAATCAGTTAAATTAGTAAAAATTATTCATTTCTTTTTATTTGACCTATTATTTAGTTAATATAGTAATTTAAAAATAAATATATTATAAAATACTTTTATTTCTTAAGTTTTTATCTATCATATAAAATATATAATTCTATTAAGTTTTACTATATATAAATGATACTTTAAAAAATATCTTTAATTCTAAAATATTCTTTTAATTTATTTATTTGATTAGAAAAATATTTAATAGTACTTATAAATATTATAAGAATTATTAAATTATTTAATAATTCAGAAATAAATTTATAAAATTTAAATATGTATAATATATCTGTAATATTTAAATCCTTGTAATCTACTAGTTCTAAACTCAATAAATTTACAATAAGTTAAGTTAATTATAATCTTTACTTATTATTATTGAGATCTAATGACAAAATAATCTTAACTAGGCTTATATCTTAGAAGTTACTATTATCTAATACTAATCTAATTTTCTAAATATAACAATTATTTTTAAGTTTTTATTACTTATAACTTTTATTAAATGATTTGTATATTTAAATTATTTATAATTTCATAATTGAACTTTTAATTATTAAAGAATCATATAATAAAGAAAGATAAAAAGCATCTAAAATATTCAAATATAAAACTATTATTAATAAAATAAATAATAATAACTAAAATTACAATATACAGTATTTAATGAAATTCACATATCTATTATTAATAAAATTTTTGAAAATTGGAAAAATTTATTTATTTGTTATGAACATTTATAAAATTTTGCATAAGCATGTTTTTTAATTATAAGTTTAAAAGTTAAATTATATTTTGATTATAAAAAAAAATCTAATTTTTGAAAAGATTCATTTTTTATAATAATAATGAATATTAATCAATTATAATCCCAATAATTAAAAATTTATGCTTTTTATTTTGTATTTATAATGTCTAAGATTCAATTCTAATTCCTATTATTGTAATAACATTTTTTAATTTTTACAAAGTATATATTTTTTTTATTTGTTCTTTTCTTTTATATTATATTTTCTTTCACAATTAGGTTTAGTATTTCGATTCAATTTTATTTGATAATTTATTATTTTCAAAATTATTAATAGGAAATTTACTATACTTATTTAATTTTCTTTCTATGCCATTGTAGAAAAAATAAAAATCGATCAATCAATAAAAAGGGGAAAACTGCCGGAAAAATAAAAAATGAATCTAAAAATCATATTTTAGTTGATCGACAGACTTTTTTTTATACGTAACATTAATATCGAAAAGACCACTCCGACTTTTAACAATGATTGCGAACTTTGACCATTTTATCTTGTGGAATTCAATCATTTTCTAAATAATAAATTTTGGTCTTTGATGATTAACATAGGAAATAATGTTTGGATTGTGAAAAACTATAAATAACAAATACTACAAATACTTAATTGTTGATGCATACGTAGACAGGTTGATTTCAAATTTGGAACTTTAAAGATGTATAATCTTCAAATTTATTCTATATATAGAACTTCATCAATAGAACATACCGTCTTAAACTAAATCTTGAGATAAGATATTTGGTTATTCTCAAACGCATCCTGATCTGCTTCTCATATTGCAAAAGTTCAGTTTCCCATCCACATTATAAATGCCTATCTTTGGGCTCTTAATCTTATATTGCGCACTAGTTCGTTAACCAGATGCATTCTTTACCAACCCATTTCTCTAAGATTGCTCTTCATAAACCATTAACAAGAATTCTCTTAACTTTCATGGAAAAGATGATTTCAGTTGTATTTCCGAGGTAATACAAATTTATGATAGATGAAATATCCACTAGTACAACTCAGTACACTTGTTACTATTTTATTTAAAAAATGCATTTAATAATCTGAATTCACGCAGTAATCAATTAAAAGTTATTCTTTCTTAACAAAAGGTAATCCAGCAGCGATTCTCAATACTCCAACAATACTTGACCAATCATAATTCTCTCCATTGTTCGCTTTTGCGGAAATAAGATGTTGGTGAACAATGTCAATAACTGGGAGTGGACATTCGTATTCTGCGGCGAGATGTCGCATATGATCAACATCTTTTAAAGAATTAGTGACTGTAAATCCGACGTCGGTGGAAAATGTATCATTTTGCATTTTTCTTCCTAAAAAAAAAAAAAACAAAAGAAAAAATTAATAATTAATAAAATAACAAGAAAATAATTATTTAAATAAATGTTTTACCATAATTTTGAAAACTTCCGAATGGAAAGAATAAATCAACAAATTCCATAAGTTTATCTCTTCCAATTCCAGTCTTTTCAGCCAAAGTCATTCCTTCAGATAATAATTCAATTATACCAGCAATGAAAAAATTTCCGGTTAATTTAAATGTCACACCTTTCGTTACATCTTCGCCAATGGAAATTGTTTTTTTTCCCAATACAGGTATAAGTAAGGGCATAACATGTTCAATAGCGGCTTGATGGCCAGAAGTGATTATAACTAATTGAGCTTCCTTTGCACTAATAGGTGGACCCCATACAGGACAACAGATGATATGTCGGTTTGGAATTTTTTCAACCCTCTCCTTGATATTAGCAATTGTTGTTGGATAAATTGTGCTCATTTCAATAAAAATTGCATTTTTTCCATCATTAGATCTCGATGATTTTAGTAATTCATCGTAAACTTGATTAACTGCGTCATCATTTGCAAGGGAGGTGAAAATAATATTTGCTCGTTCGACTACTTGGTCTAAAGATTCTGCAGTGATTGCACCAATCTCGACAACTGATTCGGTTTTTGAGGTTGTGCGATTATAAACTATAAGAGGTTCCTTATCCTGAGATTTTAAATAATTTTGCAAATCTTATATCAAGGTGGAATCATTATCCTGGCGATCGAAATTTTAAACATCCGCAAGATGTGT